GTCAGGAAACTGGGGGAGCGCTCTTTGCACTCAGCAACTACAAGCTCCTGTCTCTCACCTGTCTTTCTCTTTCTCTTCAAAGTAAGCAAGTCATTCAAATAATCAGCAAGGCAAGTAAACGATATGTCCCTATGCCTAACCATTTTGGGCAGACTTAGACTTATGAGCTGATGCATTCCCTCAAACACCTTGCACTACATTTAAAACCTCTGCAAGCCACATTGTTGGTGCTGGAGCAGATAAAGTGAAAGGAAAAATCCTTTAAGCTCATTTGTTTGCACTCATATTTTGCACAAGCATTCATTGCACAGTATATTTTTGCACTGGGCGCCCATGGTGTTGCTCTAATTTCTGGAATAATAAATCAAGAGCAATGATCAAAATTGCATAAAGAAGTACAATGTCCAACTCTCTGATAGAGATTAAACTATACATATACTTACAGTACTTGTCTCCCTGTAGTTGCAAACCAGCCTTCTTTCTTGCACAACTATGATAAGACTAAACAAAACTAAACGAAAACCAAACTAGATGAGATCAAAGTTTTTGTGCTGCAGAAATCAAGCAAACAGGCACATTCAAATACAGCTGGTCTGCAGGATACTGAGTTTCCTTCATGTCGTTAAATGTACCAGATGGTTGTGTTTTACTGCAACACAACTGCTCACAGAGTGCAAGACAGCAAGAAAAACAGGGCTGTGCTAATTTGACTTGCAAATACATCAGTATGATTTCTAGCGCTTGCTGACATTCATCATATTGTCTTATCCTGTAAATCAGTTTGAGTAGGCGAAAACAAATGTGCGGACTCGTCTGAAAAATCCTTTTCCACTCTACCTTTCAAGTTCCTGTAAAAGTCATTTGTAGTTTAGTTTATTCATTTATTTAATGGGAACAATGCATATTAATCGCACTTATGTAAATATGCAGGGTTGGCCAAGGAGGTTAATTTTCATCTGTAGTATTACAGTAAAATGTCAAATATAGTTTGGAATCAGTCAGCTGCAACACCACAAAACAATGCTATACAATAATACACAATAAAGCATAATAAATAAGCTATCATACCTTCATACCTTCAAATATACAAATAACAATAGACAGCAGATGGTACAGGTTCATATTTCCTTCAGGAATCATTTATAAAAAATGTTGCATTTAGAAGTATGTGCACATGTTCAACATAATTATTGCAACTAAACACAATAGTAACACCTCCTTGTAAGGCCACTGTTGGAAAATCAACAGTAGACAATGTCTCCCTCATGTGTTTAAAGAAAAGAGTAACAGGTAGAGAACAAATGGTTCACTCATGAATTTTGCATTCCAGTGGAAAACAAGCTGTAAAGGCACGATTAAACCTGTAAACATGTATACATATAAACACATATAAACACACCCGCACCTCTGCATATATGCACACGCACACACACACACACACACACACACAGTGATAAACTCATTTAAATAATGGACTTGGGGCAAATTTTAACATGTTGCCATTACATTACATCAGTCTATGTGTCCCTGGGAAATAAAACAGCAATGTTTTTCTAAATGCCATTTTCCAAAGACAAAGTAATATTTACCATCTTTGCATTCTGCCTAGTCCTTTAACTCATGTCTCACAGCTCAACTGAAAATCAATTAACACGCTGGAAATCATAAATATGAGGGAATGCAATGCTTGTCTGGACACATTTGAAGAAATCTTTTCTCTGGAGCATTCATGCTACATAAAGTATATTGTGTGAAAAAGTAAAGATAGCTGCGATCAGCAGAAGCACGGGTGGTTCCTTTCTGAAAATGAAAACACTTAGATCAGCTATTAGGCTGTCATACTACAATGACTCCTGTTAATCTCATCTGCACTAGGTCATCACAGCTAACATAAACAATTGTATCCACTTGGAATTCTTCATATTGTAATTTTCCTCTGCTAACACTGCCTGGGTCTTAGTAACTATAAGACCTATAGCAGCCAACTCAACCACTACTCTGTCTGTGAAAACAATGTCATTGGTCCCCCTTCTGGCTACAATTGTATGAATAACTGTAAATGCAACCTTTCACAAGCTGCTCTGGTCTTACATAAATATTGCTTGGGTTTTATTTTGCAGGAACATCTCTGTAATGACTTTCTCTGTTGACAGGCTACAGGAGATGGGGACAAGTGTTTCATTTCATGTGGTGGTTAACTGGCACTGGGACTGGTTATACGACACAGGCTCATGAGGAGTCGGCTCCTAACATGTGCCCAAACCTAAATTTATCAGAGCACAAGGCAAACAACCTGGTGGCTGATGCAGGAGCAAGAAGCTGTTTTAACATTTAATCAAACCACACTCCAGGGGTGTTGCTAGACATAAAGTTCAACTGGGGCACAGGACCCTCATAACTCACAGCACACTTTTTTTTTCTTGAATGTTTATTGCTTAGCCCACTATTTCACTGCCTGATGCTACTACAACTAGGTACAAAAGGTAAAATGTAGAGATATGAATCTTTATGAAAACATTTTAACATAGATTAAGAACATTAACAAGTTTTTATGGTGTAACTGTCTGGTCCTGCATTGCACAATAACTAATTTGTATGTCAAGCCACCCATTTGTCTATCAACAAATCATGAATAAAAAAAATCAATCTAATCATATTTTGTAATTCATAAAGCCACAAAACATATCAATTCTCCAATTACTTGGAGTCATAAAGCCACAAAACATATCAATTCTTCAATTACTTGGAGACTGTGTTGTGCAGTAGATGGCTGGTGGTGACACACCTGTCTCCATAGAGGTCCCTGCACAGACATTTTTCTCCACACTTTCCCTTCCTCAGGTTCACTTGTTGGTTAAATGTCTATGAAACAAACATTATTTGGACAGTGTGACAAGAGCATCAGATACGTTATAGGCTATTCAATTACGTGTGGCTTTACAAGTACCGAATTCATCAGCCTTTACCTTTCTGAAAAATAACTGAACATGGCATCTCTTCTTTTTTTTTCACATTTAACTCTGTATTACTCTAAAATTAGTTTGCCCATACCTTCGCTGGTTGGTAGTAGGCTACTGATAATTTTGGATAGTCTTTCATAACCTTATACCAATTTGTATATGCCAGATGTTACAGTTAAATTCATAATACATATATTGGTGAAGCTCCTTTATTTGTGACTACTGTGACATGTCACATACCGTAATCTGTTATAGCAAAGTGAATGTATATTCTGGTTATGATGCACACACATCAATTGAAGTACACTGCAGGAAATGTGAGTACACCATGGAACATTTGGCCATAATCTAACAAATTAAAATGCTGAAGATGAATATGAGTTTTTCTAATGAAAGATTAATCTTAGTGGATGTGTTTCTAGTTTGTTAGCTCTCATAGCGTTAGTTTTGAACATGCACTAATTCTTTAAGGCTGCAGGGTGACTCATTTTTTATGAAAGCATTTAGCACCTTTAATATTTCCATAACACTTCAGAATTGCAATGCTAACAAATATGCAAACGGTTGTAAACAGTGTCATGTAATTTCATGGAAAAACAAGAATGATAATGTAGATCTTTTTAAAATAAATAAATAAATAAATAAATAAATAAAATGGATTTTTAAAAGTAATGTTAGTAGCATAAAATTATTTGAACGAACAAAACTATGTTCAAACAATTAAAAATATGGAACAGCTATGATGGAGAAAGGTTGAGGCAGCTTGAGAGGAGGTTTGTATTGAGGAGATGGAAGTTAGCACAGTATTTTTAATGTTATGTTTGTTCTCATTAAAGCACAATTAACCTGCTGGATTTTTGAAAGGAGTTTGGTCACTTTCTATCAGCAAAACAGACAAGGAGTTATAAAGCAAAGCAACGTATGCTGCCCTTGGTGCCGAAGAGAAGAATCCTGAACAACCTTTGACTCAGGAATCAGAAACGCTGACCTCGGCATCGGACCCTGTCCACCTTCCACCGATAACAAATAGTCTGCAGAAACATGCTTCAGCTTCACATTTGTAGTTTTCACTACTAATTTATTACATATAACATTTATGAATTAAGATTTTACATACAAAATGTGCTGAAGAAATATCTGAGGTTTCACTAACAGCATTTTAATAATTGTTTACATTTTTATTTCTCTGCACAGGCGACAGCTGTGGCTGGAAAAAATAATTCTACATGGTGTAAACTTGTACACTAGAATTCAATTTATTTGTATAGTGACAAATAACAACAAATGTTATCTCAGGACGCTACAAAGTCAAGTCTAGACCTTACTACTATTATTATTATAGAGAAAACCCCACCAAATCCCCCTTGAGTAAGCACTTGGCGACAGTGAGGAGGAAAAACTCCCTTTACTGAAAGAAACCTCCAAGCAGACCGCAGCTCACGGTGGGCGGCTGTCTGCCTTGACCAGTTGGGGTGGGTGGATGGTTTTAGTTGATAGTCTGCCCCTTGAAACTTGGCAGAGCGAGACTACTCAGAAATTTAACCCCACAGTAAAATAAAGTTATCAAAATGTGGGTGGTGATGATTTTGAAAACATGGCCTCATTATCCCAGCAGTAGTGTGCACATACTTGACTCATTCCTGACATTTCTGTAACTCCTAAGTGAGTGACAACATTGCCATCTTGTGTTGAGAAGTAAGCTACTACTACTTTGCAGATTTCTGTGGTGGAAACACTGTCCTTTGGGAATGGTAATGTGGACACTTGCTAAAAGTGTTAATGAGTTCATCTTTCCTGAGACTGGCGCTGAATGCATTAGAAAACTCTACAATTCATACTGTGAAATCATTTAAACTAATCTGTTAAAACAAAGAATTAAACAGTGATAATTAACACATTCCTGATAATTTATTACCGGAACCTGCAACAGGGTTAAGACTACCTTAATGCAAATGTGAGTGATATATATATATATATTTTCTTGAACTGTCATCATCTGGACATCAGCTGACAGCTCGCTCAAAATAAATCCACTACATCACACTTACTTGACAGTTTTATTACTGTTATTGTTTTCTCATTGTCAGATAAAAGCAGACAGAGAGGAGCATAAGAATCAGAAACGGCGTGCAGCTCTGGGGTTCCTGTCCAAAGCCAGACAAGAGAAGTGTCTGAGGCGAGTATACATTAGGAATACAGGGCAAACCCCATAGTCATAAATGCTACATAACACTGTCCAAATCAAACAATAATGGCTGCTGTCAATGTTTTATGACAGTTTCATTGCACACAGTTGCTCTGAGGTAAGCTAGGGTTGGCTAGTGTTGTAACATCAACTAAGAAACATCTATTACATACTGTCTATCTATAGTGTGGTGACTGCGTCATATCCCGTTCCTGTACGCACAGTTTACTGTAGCTTAGTTTAGAGTATAAACAAACAATATAAGTGAACAAATCAAAAACTGCTATTACAGTAGCTCATCTCTATCTTGGCATAGCTTTGGCATTAGGAGGTAACATGGTGGAACCCTGTTGGGAGCCATTTGACAACAAGCGCTTTTGTCCATTTTGTCAACATTTAGGGAGTAACTCCCACGGCCTTGGGCCAATATAAGGAATATAAGGGACTACATAATGCAGTTAGAGTCAACTATTCATATTTCAAGTTGAACAAATAACAGTTTCTACATACAGTACTGCTAATGCAACTTGAGGGAAAGCACCCACAGATGTGTATTTTCTGGGTTATGTACATGTCTCAAACACAAAAGGAGTCTGTCATGCTCCCCTCCTTCACTAATGAGATCCACTTTGAGCTGCAGCTTTGCAGTCATACAAACTTACATGAGCTTAAGCTTTAGCTTATTCCACAGGCGAGAAGGTGCTTGTGGCATGTAGGACAACACTTTATGATTTTCAATCACATTAATTTTAACGTAAAAAAAAAAAAAAAAAAGACTTATGTTAGCAGACTTGTGGACCTAGTCTGGCTTCACTGGCTGAGTTGAGGTTTGAGACACACTTTGAAATGACGTTAGACTACAAAAATGACCAAACAGCAGCATTCAGTTCAACACAGTGGACAGATGAGAAAGAGATACTATGATACATTGTCATAGGCTTATTTTGCTAATATAAAAAGGTATAAATAACTGATTTGGTTAAACACAGTACTGATGAAAAAATAGACAACTGAAACCTGGTGCAAGTCTTCACTCTTTTTCTCCATCATGTTTGGGATTACCTGAGATTCCAGTTGTCCCTCAGGCTTTACAGATGTAACAACAACAAGAACTTATTAATTGATCGACTGACTTAATTAGTCGACTGAGGTTAGAGTCTCATGAACCAGATGGGGTCAAAAACATTCAAGCGAACAGAGGACACCTATGTCACCATAAACTAGATCCTTGATACCATACTTTGTCCCTGCACCCAAACACAACCTGACCTGCAGGCTCAGCACATTCTTGACACCACAGTCCATCAAACCACCACTCTGAAAAAGCTTTTAAAAAAAGCAGGCAACAAAGAAAACATAAAAGGCTTAGTTTAAAAATGGGTGAGGTATCCTTACATAATTCTCCCTCTAAAGAAGTTAGGCCTTTTAAATACCATCTTGGAATGCACTATATACTGATAGATATACATAGACATATTTATACTGTATATTGCCATTAATATGAGCAGGATTACTGTTGATAAATACAGTGACCTCCTTACCATCAGAGGCACCTCAGCGAGCTTCAGTACTCTTCTGCCTTTGATGGTAGCACCCAAAGAACCTACACAGGTGCAGGAAGAGATACTTAATGTTTTTCTATTGCATCTGATTAAAACTCAAATATGATGATCCAAACACCAACGGCTGTGGTTACTCTTCATCCACAGTCTCCCTTTTGGAACCCTCCTCCTTCTGTTCCAGGACCTGAGGGATGGGGCTTGGCAGGGCTGCCACCTCCGTGGTAGCCAATGAGGAGGGGTCTTGTTGGTCAACAATCCTCTGGGAACATGTGTCTTCCTGTGGAAAGAAGTGCACATTACATACATGAGCACTATATACACAGGAAACACAGGCCAAGGTGGTGGTGTGGCAGCGATCTTTGACTCAAGCCTATTAATCAACCCTAGACCTAAACATAGTTATAACTCATTTGAAAGTCTCACCCTGAGTCTCTCACACCCAAACAGGAAAACTCAAAAGCCTTTTCTGTTTGTTATTGTATACCGTCCATCTGCTCCTTATTCAGAGTTTTTAAGTGAATTCTCAGACTTTCTGTCTGATTTAGTGCTTAGTACAGATAAAATAATCATAGTGGG